GAAATATGTGACACATGCTCCGCAAATAGTGAGTGTGGGTTTAATTGCTAGGGGCTAATTGGATTATTCTGGGTAGGGACGCAAGTCAAACTGTGCGACAGGAAAATGGCTTAGCAAAGCGCAAATAAGCATTGTGAATATCGGATTTACGTAACTAGGTGTGTATTTCCGTTGTGATAAATAGAGATAACATGTTGTAATTGAGGGCATTCGGAATAGAAATCGAGATCGACTGAACGTAGATTGTACGGAGATTGTGGAGGCGTACGTGGATCGTAAATAAACTTGATAAACCAGAAAGATACAGTCCTATTGATTGCTGTACCAGCGGAACGCAGGGATTTTCCTTAGCGCAGTGGAGAATTCTGCAACACTGAAGAAGAAACTGTCACCTTTCTGTAAGTTTTGAAATGTGGGCAAACGCGACCAAAACGATGAATGGAACACAGTCCATGTTGAGCTGCTTTAACCCTGCAGCGAGAAGAATTGGTGAAACCTTTGCTTACTGCGTATTATTTGTTGTATCGCTGGTTGGAAATACCCTCATCGGGTTTATCGTGTACAAGACGAAAACCCTACAAAAGCCCATCAACTTTTTCATTGTAAACATGGCCATGTCCGATCTGCTGTTTCCGATTTTCCTGTTTCCTCGGGAACTAGTTTCGTCACACAGCGATTCTTTTCCCTGGTTAATCGGCGGTACTCTAGGCGAAGTGTTGTGTAAACTGGTTCCATTCGCGATAGATATCTCCACTTCGGTTTCCATCTTGAGCCTGGTGCTGATAGCAGTGGATCGATTTGAAGCTGTGGTATTTCCTCTACGTTTCCTATTGATCAGTTCAAAGCAGTGTCGGTTCTTCGTTCTCGCCACTTGGATCATCGCCATGGCAGTCCATTGCCCTCACCTGCTCGTTCTCAAGGTTGTCGAACATCAAAAGAAGCTTTTGTGCGTGATACAATTGGATGGCGTATTTGGTGACTATTTGTCCCACCTAAACTACATGACTGCATTGTCTGTTGCATTCTTTTATGTCCCTTTGGCTTTAATTTCCGTACTTTACACTGCAATTGCCTTAAAAATCAAATTGCAGAAGACTCCAGGCGAACAAACAGCTAGCGGCAGAGACCAACGTTTGAAGCGAGAGAGACATGTTATCAAGATGTCTGTTGCAATCGTGTTGGTGTTCGCAGTATGCTCGCTGCCACGCGGTATCTGGTGGTTTTTGAGGCGCTTTTCATCAGACAGAACCATGTTATCTTGTGCCTTCCAATACTTCACATTAATTAACTCCTTTATTTTTCGCTCATATTGTGCTGTAAACCCTTGCGTCTGTTTTATTTTC